AGGGGTGAGGTGGGGTGGGGGGTTGTCCCCTCTCTGCACATGCATAGGAAAGCAGGGGTGAGGTGGGGTGGGGGGGTTGTCCCCTCTCTGCACATGCATAGGAAAGCAGGGGTGAGGTGGGGTGGGGGGGTTGTCACCTCTCTGCACATGCATAGGAAAGCAGGGGTGAGGTGGGGGGGTTGTCCCCTCTCTACACATGCATAGGAAAGCAGGGGTGAGGTGGGGTAGGGGGTTGTCCCCTCTCTGCACATGCTCAGGAAACCACCCAAGATCAAGGGAAGAACCCGCTGAAGGCATAGAGGCCAAGTGCCTGGGAGTCGCATAGGGCTGGGGTCGGCAGCCTCTTCCTCCTGGAAGACTTCTATGTTCACAGGACCCCTGGGAAGAACACACTTAAGGTCTGGCTCAGTACTAGGAAATAATTAGCCCTTGGTTGTTTCTCAAATCTTAAAAGCAAGACCCCCAAAGACCAGACTTTTCCAAATAACTTGATTGTATCCTAGAACAAATCTCAAAAATGTCTATAAAAATGCATAAGTACCCAAAACACCCATTATGGTGGAATCTACAATGCCTAGCATCCACTCCCAAAACCACCAGACGTGGATCGATGCAGGAAAACATAGTGTATCTCGAGGAATGAACAAGATCGTGGGAACTGACACAGAGCAGATCCACGGGTTCTGAAGAGAAGACGGCAGAGCGGTTCCTGAAACAGCATCTCACACGTTCCCGAAGATGACGTGGAGGTATGGAAAGCAGACGCACATCGGGTGTCTAGACACGAAGATTGTAATTATGAGACAAAACCACAAATGTTTCAGGGGAAAAAAAGTCACAGAACTTAAAGACCTATCAACAGAAAAACATGAACAAAGGAGAAAACCCTTGAACAGAAGCATAGAGCCGGGACACAGCTTCAAGCCTCCTCATGTGCAATTCAAATGTAGGAAAAGACCGAAGAACCAAAAACAAACTTGAAGAACTTATGATCAAATTTTTTCTAAAGTTCATGAAAGAAGAACATTATACACACGTATGAAAATGTCAAAACACACATTATTTTGTACCAGTAATATATACTAATAATTTTAAAAAGCAAAACAAAACAATCTATGGTAATTATAAGTCCATAGATCGACGAGGCACAGTGAAGCCCAGCACAATAAATCTGAAAAGAAAGGTGTGAGTGAGTGTGTATGTTCAAAAATATCGACAAAAAGAAAAATGTAAAGTGACCAAAGAAAGCAGCACATTCGGAAGAACAGGTCAAGCATCTCATCGGGTGCATCAGAAATAATTCAGTCAAGGCAGTGGAGCGACAGCTTCAGGATACTGAAACGAAAGCAAACGCTGTGAACCTAGAATTCTGTACCCACAGAACACTGCGTGTGTGTGTGTGTGTGTGTGTGTGTGTGTGTGTGTGTGTGTGTGCGTGCGCGCACGCGCGCACGGATGTGTGTGTCCATGCATGTGTGTGGGTGGAAGTGCACGCGCTTCTGCTCACATGTACAGGGCAGAGGGACAGCTCTTCACCAGTCCTTACTTTTTTTTTTTGTTTTTTCGAGACAGGGTTTCTCTGTGTAGCTTTGCGCCTTTCCTGGATCTCGCTCTGTAGACCAGGCTGGTCTCGAACTCACAAAGATCCGCCTGGCTCTGCCTCCCGAGTGCTGGGATTAAAGGCGTGCGCGGCCGCCGCCGCCGCCGCCGCCGCCACCACCACCACCACCACCACCCGGCTCAGTCCTTACTTTTTATTGCTTGAGTAAGGGTCTCTCTGCTGTCCACTGCTGAGATGCCAGGCTACCTGGCCCCGAGTTTCTGGGAAAACCTCTACACACACACACACACACACACACACACACACACACACCCTGATGCCACCATGTCACCGTAGGAGAGCTGAAGTCTCAGACGCGTGCTGCTGTCTGGTTTTACATGGGTTCTAGAGACTTAAACTCAGTTCACTGTGTTTATGCATCAAGCACTTTAAAATTGCACACACTCGGCCGGGCGGTGGTGGCGCACGCCTTTAATCCCAGCACTCGGGAGGCAGAGCCAGGTGGATCTCTGTGAGTTCGAGGCCAGCCTGGGCTACCAAGTGAGTCCCAGGAAAGGCGCAAAGCTACACAGAGAAACCCTGTCTCGAAAAACCAAAAAAAAAAAAAAAATTGCACACACTCGATTCTGTTTTTCTCTTCGGAGAACTAAAACTACATGGTAAGACGTGTGGAGAAAAAGATTACAGGTGATTCAGAGCTAATTAGAGATAATGTGCTGTTTTTGACTGTGAGGGAAGACACTCCCCCTCAAGACAGGCACTTAAGTCTGTTGCTCCCTCACACAATGAGGCAGGTACGTTTGTTTGCATCGACAATTGAACAGAAAGTTCAAAAGATCGTATTGTTGGGGCTCCCCATGACATTCTCTTCAAAATACTGCTACAATTCTTCTTTCTCCAGCTTCCAAATTTGGAGCAACATTCGTTTATGTTGGGCAGGAATGTGATCAAGAAAGGTGCTGCGGGCTGGAGAGAGGCTCAGAGGTTAAAAGCACTTACTGTTCTTCCAGAGGGCAGGGGTTCATTCCAGCACCCACTCTGTTCTCTCAGGGAAGGCTGACCATCCAAGAAGAGCTTGTCCTGCAGAAGGTTGACATGGACTCGTAACTACCTGTAATGCCAGGGGATCCAATGCCCATGGCCTCCACAGGCACCCCCCCATGTGTTTATATCCATACACCCACCCCTAAAAATAATTTTTAAAAATTTTTAACAAAAATGATGTGTGGTCAATTCGATTCAAATAAGAACTCTTTGGGCATAAGATTTACAATGGTCACAAACATTATTGTATTACTCTTGCTTATAAATAATAAGCACTCATTAATATTCCCATAGATGTTACAGTTTTAACATAGGAAACACATATTCTCTGAAAGTGGGTCATCAGTAACAATTCCAAATGATATGTCCCCTTCATATAAACCACTATGATAAATATTTAATATTAATTCTCTTATCAAATATTTATTTAGTATGATGACACTCTGAGAGGTCTACTGTAAAGAGCCAGAGCCCCAGAGGACCAGAAGTCAAGAACACTGAGGGCTTTAACACAGCTCAGTTTCTTTAGGTTTTCGCTTGTTTTCCTGTGGTCGCCTGGGTTCTCTGGAGCCGCCTCTCATGGTCTGGTTTATGGCACAACTCTGCCTCCTGCAGTTAACTTAATCCCAAACGCTTTTTCAGCTCTCACCCTACCTGGTTTCGCCTCATCGCCGGAAGTGCATCACAGCTGCGTCTGGTCTGATAGTTGATGTCAAACTGCTGCAGAATGAACTCCTCATCGATGGGCGAACTTCCCTACAAGGACACTGCAGGGCATGAATGGAGGGCAGGTGGCCCGGAGCTCCCTGCCTCCTACCTCATCTCAGGAGGTGCTGACCACTCCTGGGCAGCAGGGAGTTTGGAGGAAAAGACAATACTCCAGAAGCATTCACTGGGGACCAAAGTACCCGGGGACAGGATGGCTTTGGCAATCTGAGAGACCGCTTTGAACCTGCAGGAAGTCATGAGTCCCCAGGGAAATACTGTGTGATCAAAAGCAAATTTCTCCAGCACTTTGTAGCAGTGACATTTCTAGAGCACTTTCCATATGTATTTAAAAAAAAAAAAGTGCATGTGTATGTTGCTATGCATCTATGCCACATGTGTGCAGGTGTCCTCAGAGGCCAGAAGGGGGCGCTGTATGCCCTGGAGCAGGAACTGGGGGCAGTTGTGAGCTGCCATGTGGGTACTGGGAAATGAACCTAGGTCCTCTTAGCCACGGAGCCATCTGTCCTGGCCCTCTTAAGGGGAGCTGTCCTCTCCATGACCCAGATGAAATATGCCATTTCAAGAATATTCTGTGCTCAGAGTAACCCTGTCCTTTCCTGCCCCTGGACACAGTGGGTAGGGGCCGAAACAGACACACTGAGTGGTTCAGCAGGGTGAATGTTATCCTGTGACGTGGCCTAAGACTGGAGGATAAACTAGAGTCAGGAGAATTCCACTTTGGCAGATAAAAATTGGGAAACAGAGAGGATGAGTCAAAGTCGGAGATGAAGTAGCATTTATGGAGAGGAGCCATGAATCAGTCAGAGCCCTTGAAGGGCCACAGCAGGGCCAGAACAAGACTGGGATGGTAACGAGAAGAAACAGAGCAGGCACAATCGATGACGTGAAAAAAAAACTCAGTAGCGTAGAAGGAAAAGTGTGAACTGGTGCTGGAGACTCACACCACAGCCCCGTGTGATATAAGGAGAATTTAGGGACATACGGGACTCTGGTCACTGAGATTGGAAACACAGGAAGTTGGCAGAGTGGCTGAAGTGCCGTCTCGGGGCTGGTACTGCGGTGGTGTTTTGTTTTGTTTTCCTATTATACGAAGAACTTTAATGACCTGGGTTTCTTCAGACCCTCCCAGGCTTCTTGCACTCAGCCAGCTGTGAAGATGAACTGTGTGTAAGCCAACACTGAGGGAGCTGCCTGGACTGGGGGACAGGGTGGCTTGGCTGGCAAATGTCTGCCGCGGCACAAGCTTGAGGACTTGGGTCCCCAGAACCTGTGGAGAAGAGCCAGGCATGCTGGCGTGCGCTTGAAATCCCAGCATGGGCAGACAGGTGGATCACTCGGGTTTGCTGGCCAGCGAGGCCAGCCTAATCGGCAAACTCCAGGCCAGTGAGAGACCTGTGTCAAATAAAATTGTGTTTGGCATCTGAGGAGCAACATTTGAGGCTGTCCTCTCGAATTTGTGAGTATACATACCATACACCTACACACCATGCACATAGGAGAGAAAGAGAGAGAGAATGAGAACTAAGGAGTTTTGCATTTCAAATATCAAAGCTCTAGATCAGAGTCCTAGAAAGACTTTTTGGAGAAAGTCATCCCATGAAACAGTTCCCAGGATTATCGTTTATCTTCTCCAGAAATTGACTTCGTTCTTTTTCTCTTTTTTTAACCTGAAATTTAATGCTCTGTCCTGGTGTGAGTGCACACAGGATGTCAAATGCCACGGCACGTATGTGGAGATCACGGGGTAACTTCTCTTCTTCCACCGTGAGTATCCCAGGAATCAAATCCAGGCCCTCGGGGTTGGTAGCGAGTGCCTTCACTCTCAGAGCTCTCTAGCCAGTACCCCGTCTGCTCCATCTTCAGAGCCTCATCAAATCCTCCATCCCACCTGACTTCACCGCCTCCTCTCCCGTGGAAAGTGGCGCTCTTCCAGCCACCGGTAAAGGTGTGTGCCACCACCGCCCGGGGCTGTGGATGGTCCTTTAAGGAGAACTAAAGTCTGGGGCTTGTTTCTTATGATCTGCCATAGCTGTTCTGTGACTCATCTTCTCCCCTCACCAATGCAAACTTGTGTGTGACGTTTGATGTTTTTCCTGGTTTATGACAGTTCCTTTTATCTTGTTAGAGAGGACGTGGGACCCCAGGTGAGGATGAGGGGTGCTGCTCAGGGGTCTTGGGCAGAGCACCTGGGATTCAGCTCTCATTCGCAAGTAGAACAGAAGGTAGGAGCGACAGTTACAGAGAAGGGATGCTAGGTCACTTCTTCCAGAAGTCAGGAAACAGGACCAGCAAGAAGGAAGGCTCAGTGGAAAAAATGGCTGATGATCGGAGTGATTCTCTAAATCCTCATGAAGGCTGATGGAGAGAAGAGACTCCACAAGGCTGTCCTCTGACCTCTGTCCTCCACATTCTCATTGTGACATGCACACACCCACACATACATACCACACACAATAATAACAACAACAATAATAATAATTAATGATAATTGATGTTTTCAAAGGCAGACACAGACTTCTCTGCTATGCAGGAAAGCTCTATGCAGCCATCTTGGAGATGTTCCCTAAGGATTCTTAAATTTCCCACTCAGGTAGAGGCGTCTCCAGTGGTAGAAATGAGGAAGGGGTAGGGGCAAACAGTCCCATACAGCCAGACTGTGAACAGGAGTGCCATGGGTAGCAGGTAGTGAACATCATCCCCTTAATCACGGTGGTCAGTTCTGACACAGGCACACAGCCCATGCAGTGACAGGAAGCCCTGGATTCTGCCCTGTCGGAAAAAGGTTTCTCTCTCCCCACCAGGCCTCACACTGGTACAATGCAAGCCTAATTAATTTTGGCGATGACTTGGCATCCCTTGGGGGAAACGAGAGTAAAGTCAGAAAGAGGGGTCAGCAAGACTTGAGGACAGCACCCAAGAGCAGGTTAGCACTAGATGCGATTGTGCCTGGGTCTCCCAGGGCTTCTGGGTAATTCTCCTTTCTCCTTTAAACCCGCCGAATTACATTTGGGTCTGGAGGATAGCCACTTGCTAACGAAATAGTACTAGATAAATACACAGACTAGGGCTGGCCCTATGGCCCCGCTGGTAAAGGTCCTTGTCAACAAGCTTGATGGGCTGAGTTCAATCCTCAAGACCCGCATGAGAGAAAGAGAATCAACTGTCACAAGTTGTCCTCTGTCACTGTGATATGTGCATGCATACACACACACACACACAGAGAGAGAGAGAGAGAGAGAGAGAGAGAGAGAAATAAATAATTAAATAAATGTAATGAATATGTCTATAAAATACTTTGACTAAAAATTACTAATGCATAAAAAATCTGAGAGATGTAATACTGGAAGGTCTTAAACCTGGGGAAAAACATCGGGAAATCAAAAAACTCGGCAGAGACTTGGGGTGAGCATCGGTAACTGCGGTTCTTGGTGAAGTCGAGGAAAGCCCTGATGACCGCGGCAGAAGTCTCACGCTTCAGAAAAGCCCCTGAGTCAGCACAGCTCACAGGCACTCACAGCCAAGTGTGTCTGGGAGTGTGAACTGAAGCGGGAATGAAGGATGGGGAAGAGTCCTGCCACTAACGTGGGAACGGAAGCTTCAAAGCCACGTCCACGCGAGCATAGAAACATCAATATTCAAATTAGCTCCAAAGCTTACAAACTTTGCAGAAGTTGCCGGTTCCCAAAACTCTCTACTGTCGGTGCCGGTACAGACCGATTCCAATCCGACTGACGATTTGAGAGTTTGACTCTGACAATGCTTACTAGAAGCGACTTGGAGCTGGATGCTTTTCTCCAGCACTAGAACCTGAGCCCAGGGCCCCCCTCATGCACTGAGTGTGACTCTTGCACACTGAGCAACTTTGGAGTCCCTGCTAACTTACAAGAGCTGTGGCCCAGTGGCAGAAGTCTCGGACTCCTCTGCGTATGTTGTCATGGAGGAGACTGTCTTTATAGAGAGAATTCGCTTCGCTTGGCTTTTCTTCACAAAGCCACTGGCCTGAATGTGACACCGGCATCTTCTTGGGTCTAAAGACAATGAGATCATCAAAGGATTAAAGACGGGGATCGATGACTCCCAGTGAATCCCAACCGGAATCCCTGGAATGAGATCAGACCTCTCAAGGTCTCTGAAAGGTCATGTGAATTATAGCTTCAAAGGCCACATTCCCCTCGTCATGCTAGAAAGACAAGTGTGTCATGGCTAGTTATACTGATCAAAACCTCAGAACATTAAATCCAGTGTCATGTTGCCTTTTAAAGTTACGAGTGACACGTATTGATACATGTGCCATGTAGAAGGCGCTACACTTGAAGTTGACCTGTAATCTTAAGAAGACAGAGAACCATTGACAGTACTCTTTCCTCCCTGTCTCTCTGTCTGCTTCTGTCTCTCTGTCTCTCTGTCTCTCTGTCACACACACACACACACACACACACACACACACACACACACACACACACACACCTCTGATGTCCAGTTCATCGATGTCTGGTCGATTTTAGCTGTCTGATTCTCTGTTCTGTTGTGAAAGGCTCTCACTGGAGTTTCTGTATCTTCTTTCTATCCTCCCAATCCTGAATCCTTTATTTAAATTTCAGGCCAAGGGCTCATTGCTAAATATGAGTATGAGCATGTCAAACACAGTCACCCATCATGCAGCTCATAAGGTTGGGAGCCGCTGTGGAGGATGACGCTAAGCTTCGGGTCCTTCCTCCTCTACTTCATAAGCGCTGAGATTACAGCCACCTACCACCGAGTTCTGTTTATCTGGTCCCAGAGATTAACCCCAAGGCTCTGTGTGCCCTAGGCAAGCACTCTTAACTGAGACACAACCCCACTTCACATATCCCTTCCTGAGTGAAGCATTCCCACAGGATGGCCCCTCAGCCTACCCTTTTCTTCAGATATCCATGTACTAACTTGTCTCCCATCCAGTTCAGAAATATTCCTTAAGCACCAAATATGTGCTGGAGATTAAGCATTAGAAATCAGTATTCATGAAAAAAAGAAAAAAAGAAAGAAATCAGTATTCAGCCGGGCGGTGGTGGTGGTGGTGGTGGTGGTGGCGGCGGCGGCGGCGGCGGCGGCGGCGGCGGCGCACGCCTTTAATCCTAGCACTGGGGAGGCAGAGGCAGGTGCATCTCTGTGAGTTCAACACCAGCATGGTCTACAAAGTGAGTTCCTGGAAAGGCACCAAAACTACACAGAGAAACCCTGTCTAGAAAAACTGAAAAAAAAGAAAGAAAGAAAGAAATATCAGTATTCAACTGTAAATACAACCAAAATCCCTGTCTTCACATGCCTTCAACTGAGCAAGATGGACAGACTGAATGGGGGATGGGGCAGACAAACATGCCAGAAGCTCAGGAACGGTGGAGAGAAAAAGTGACGGGCAAAGGGCTGGAGAGGATGCAGAGAAGAGGCTCATTTCTACAGAGAGTCTCCCTGCTAAGTGACACCGAGCACAGACCCAGCAGAGGAAAACACCAGACCACTTAGCTATGAGAGCGGACGAATATCAAATATGAACTATCCAAGTGGACGAATATGAACTATCCAAGTGGACGAATATCAAATATGAACTATCTAAGTGGACGAATATCAAATGTGAACTATCCAAGTGGACGAAGAATATCAAATATGAACTATCCAAGTGGACGAATATGAACTATCCAAGTGGATGCAGGACACGTGCAGATCGGCGTGACTTTAGTCAGCACCAGGGAAGTGACAGCCAGGTGTGTGAGGGGATCTGTTAGGCTCCGAGTGACAAGCGAACTCCAGGACCAGTGAAACGGCTCAGCAGCTGAAAGTGCCTTTGGCCAGGCTTGAGAACCTGAGTTCAATCCCCAGGACCCACGTGGGAGAAGGAGAGAACCAACCCCTGCGAGCTGTCCTTGACCTCCAAGTGTACCCTGTAGCACACATAACCCACACAAACTAAAATAAACTAAAACGTTTAATAAAATTAACGTCAAAAAGGGTCAGGGAAGTGGCTCCGTGGCTCCGTGGGTAAAGCACTTGCTGCACAAGTGTGAGGTCCCACGTTCAAATCCTCAGAAGGCACACCAAGCTAGGCTGAGCAGCAGGAGCCTGTAATCCCAGTGCGCTCACACGGAGGGAGGAGGCTGAGACAGGAGACTCCCCAGAAGCTCACAAGCCAGCTGCAAACATCCAAGAGACCAAAAGACCCTGCCTGAAAGAGGGTGAAGGTGAGGAGCCACACCTGAGGTTCACATGTATATGTCTGCCCTGGCATGCATGGTCATCCCTATAACAGAGAGAGAGAGAGAGAGAGAGAGAGAGAGAGAGAGAGAGAGAGAGAGAACCTGTGTGAGCTTTTGAAACATCAAAGCCCCACACCTAGTGACACACCTCCTCCGACCAGGCCTCACCTCCTCCGACCAGGCCACACCTCCTCCGACCAGGCC